AGACCATGTGGGTATCTGGTGAGTCTCTCTCTGGGGAAAGCATTTCACAGCCTTTGTAAAGATACTCGCTCTCAGAAAGTGTCTACGGCTTGCCACGTTGCCTATATTTGCCTGAACTTCATCTGCAGCTCCTCGATTTAAAATCATTTGAAAACTTGCCACTGAGTTAATGAGCACTTATTTTTTTAACAAAATGGGTCCAAGGTATGTTACTTGCCTGAGGCAAAACAGGATACAGCGCATCTTCCCATTGATATCAATGTGCATATTATCCAAGGTATTTGGTGCATAAACCACTACATGTTCTTTTCTTCAAACGTCAGCAGTAAAAAAAAAACAAAAAAAAACACACATCCTTTTCAGATGTCTATAATGTGCTCTTAAGGCTGGCGGGTCCATCCATCCTAATAGGAAGATTGACCTTGTTTTTAGACTCTATCAATTTGTATTTAATTGGATTAATCTAACTGATTAAACTGTTCACACACTGCAGCAGCGTTTCTGCTTCTTTCTCCTCTTGTTTTAAAGGATTGGGTACAATCCATACAAATAACATGAGAGGGAGAGGGGGGAAGGAGGGACGGAGGGATGGAGAGAGAGACAGAGACAGAGAATGAGAATATGAATATTGGCCTTAGAGAAGAGTGAACGCAGGTCTAGTAGAAGAGTACTTCCATTGGTAACTGGAAACCAGAACTTCTGTCAGCAACATTTGCCCCATCAAAGGAAATAGATGGAGAGGGGCAACTGCTGAACACGTTTCTCAAGATATGGAAAGAAATGCAGGACAGAACTTAAAAGCATAGAATGGTTTTTAAAAAGTTATAGGGAAGAGGGAGGGAGGGAGGGAGGGAGGGGGAGAGAGAGAGAAAGAGAAAGAGAACACAAATGGCATGACAATCTATCTTGTATGTCATCTATAACGTATAACTTCATGACCCAGGGAGACAAATTTTGACTGACAAGTTGGCGGGCAGCCAAATAAAATAGAAATTGTGAGATGGGAAAGAATGCAACAGATGATCCTCAAAATTAGAGCAACGAGATGTTAAAACTTTCAACCAGGGAAAGACGGATACAGTGAAAGAGGATCAAACTCAAAGCCACAACATGTTTGTTTTTTTTCTCTCGGTTTATCAGCCTGCAGCTTTTGACCTGAGTTGCTTATGAGAGACAAATACTATCTGATCAGAGCCAGAATTCAAAGTGCGATTCTTAACGTGTTCTGACTTTCTTTGAAATTTGTCTCCTTTACCAGTAAGAAACTCCGCTTCGCTTTTGAGAATGCAACTGAACTCTGCCTGCAACCAGTTGTTGACAAGCCTCTCGCTTTTCCTTTCCTGTTTAAAACTCCTCAGCTTGTTCGCAAGCCTCTTTCTATTCCCTGAGGGCAGGCACTGAATTTTTTAGCAGGTTGGATGAAAATAGCTTCAACTATTTCTGCAGCGGAACAGAAAAGGTACAAACTCTCTCAGACAGAGCACACGAGTCCTCATCTTTAGACAGGCAAATAAAAGTGTTTTTCTTACCGCTAGAGCAGCCACTACTCTTAGTTAACATTACTTTTGGAAATACAGATGGTCCTCGATGTAAGACCACAATTGAGCCCAACATTTCTGTTGTTAAGTGAGACATTTGTTAAGTGAGTTTTGCCCAGTGGTGAAATCCAAATGTGCGCTTCGCACAGAAAAATAAGACTTCACTAGGTAAGTAGAACAGCGAGGGGGGGGGAAACAGCTGTGCCGCGTGATTTAACTTCGCTAGAAAACAGGATTTCCTGCTTTCTAGCAAATATAAACCACGCGGCACAGCTGATCGTCAAAAATACTGGTTCAAACGAACTGGTAGCTTTTTTAAACTACCGGTTTGCCCGAACTGGTAGTTTTTATGACTACCAGTTCGCCCGGACCAGGGCGAACCAGTAGCATTTCACCCCTGGTTTTGCCCCCCATTTTACAACATTTCTTGCCTCTGTTGTTAAATGAATCACTGCAGTGGACAAGTTAGTAACATGGCCGTTCAGGGAATTTGGCTTCCCCATTGTCTTCGCTCGTCAGAGGGTCACAAAAGGGGATCACATGACCTTGGGACACAACCAATGGTCATAAATATGAACCAGTTGCCAAGCGTCTGAATTTTGATAACATGACCATGGGGATGCCGGAAAGATCGTAACTGTGGGAAAACGGTCATTAAGTCACTTTTTTTCAGTGCCATTGTAACTTTGGACGGTCACTAAATGAACTGTTTGTAAGTTGAGGACTATCTGTACCATACAATGGATTACTATAATCAAGTTGCAACGATTATTGATCACTCTGTCAAAAAAGGAAGGATGGAGCTTAAAAGGATGCAGAAAAAGTTCAGGGGCTACAACAGACTTATGGATTGGAATGAAAGTGGCCAAGAAAAGACATCCGAAGTATATAAAACAATGCCTAGTATGGTAATCTTAATGAGAAACTTTGCTCTTGTGCTCAAAACATTAGATCTCAGACTCATTTATTAAAACTGTGGAACAAATTCTGGTATGATGGACATATTCCCGCATGCTATTAGTATCTATCTTTACCAAGTAACAATAGAAAGGAGTATATTTGTAGCTCAGGGTTGAACTGTAGGATCCTTGGTGCTCTCAGAGCTTGATTGCTTTCTTGAAGATCTTTCTGCAGATGTCTTGATGGTGTTATCTAGTTGGGTAATGAAACAACTGTGGGAAAACAACCAAGCTCAGAGACCACCAAGGACCCCACACTTCCCATATGAGCCATTGATTTAGACTGCTGGTAGTACAACTAATGCAGCATAACAAACCGTGACAAAATGAGGAGACAACCAAACGGAAAATCAAAATGGAAGCTCTCCAGGCCACGCCATGAAAGATCGATTGCATTTGATTTGCATGTAGAAAGACCAAGGCATCCTTCTCCGACCTCTGCAATGATGGCAGTCAAGTAGCAGGTAATTGGAAAACCCTGTCAACCCATACAAAATAGTCAGACAATTTGAACTATTATAGGTCAGCCTTGCTGTGGTTCTATAAAGATTACCCTGACTGAAGTTTTACATTCTAGTTCTCTTGGCATTGGGAAAATATATATAATTGGTATTGGGGGGAAAATTCATAATTTGGTGGGCTGGTGATGTGTAAATGGCACCCATGCAAAAAGAACAAGAAAAACACCTGAAAAAGCTGGGATTATGACATCTGCAAGAATGAGGAAAGCCTAATTTTAAAAAAACTAAACTTCTAAAAAAAAGTGGAGTGTTTTTTTTTTGTTTGTTTGTTTTGGTATTTTGGACATATGGCCTCAAAGACATGCGAATCGAGATCTGCAAAGACTATCTTTGCAGCAAAAGCAAGAAATCTTTCAGAAATAAGTAGATCTGTGGGTGAGTATGAGTGGGCGTACACAAATGTATGGGGTTCGCATTAATTTAATGGCAACCAAGAAACACGTTAACTTGCATCCTCTGGCTTGTCTTCAGGGAATTGTTTATATGAATGTGATAATGCAAGCTTCTTACATGATATTGTGCTGAAATATGAGTTACTGACAACCTTGTCTACCGGCAAATCACTGGGCAATGCACAGTGGTGATCAAACTATGTATGCACATCCTCCTATTTTCGATTCAGTGACTTACTCAGCTCCCTGGGTACCCTGCTGCTCCAGCCTCAAATAACTGGTTCCTCTCCTAGTCACTCTTGCGAACTTGATTTATTTCAGAAAAACTGACTCAATGGGACACACACTAAAAAGAAAATACAGTACACATGGTCTTCAGGGTATGGTGGCTTAGCATCAATTCTGCCATTAAATGGCTTCCTCATGGGGCAGAATACAGGAGGAGTCACCTGGAGTCCTACTTTATATCTCTAAAAAAGTACATAAAACAGGGGTGTTAAACTTAAGGCCCGTGGGCCGGATCCGGTGCTTAAATCTGGCCTGCAGGGCTGGGCTGGAAATAACAAAGGACTGGCCCGTGGTGTCTCTGGCAGCCAAAACGGGGCATGGGGGGCGTGTGTGGCCCCCTGCGCCCAGTTTTCAGCCTGGATGGACTCCTGCAGAACTCTGCCGGCCAAAACGAGGCACACGAGGGGGGCACGCCCCCCCGTGCCCTGTTTTGGCCAGCAAAGTGCTACAGAAGGCTTGGTAGTACAGGGGTTTAAGGCACCCTGTTATTAAGCTGGTTATTAAGACCAGCTGCCTGCAATTACTGCAGGGTTCGAATCTCGCCAAGGCTCAAGGTTGACTCAGCCTTCCATCCTTTCTAAGGTAGGTGAAATGAGGACCCAGTTTGTGGGGGCAATAAGCTGACTTTGTATAAATATACAAAAGGATGAAGGCTATTGCTGAGCACATTGTAAGCCGCCCTGAGTCTTCGGAGAAGGGCAGCATATAAATCAAATTTTAAAAAAAATCCATCCCATCTTCTTTCCCACCACCACCCCCGGCCGGCCCGCAGAGGAGAGCTACAATGGTGACCCTGCCCTCGAAGAAATCCAGTTTGATACCCCTGACATAAAACTACCATCCATGCTCAGATTGCAATGCTGGCAATCATATGCACGCAATACCATCCAGTATTATTTCCAGTGGCTCTGGAAAATTCTGTGCCTTTTCATAGATAAATAAGTAACATAAGATGTTTGGCCTCTTTTCATGTCTTTTGTTCTCCCTACATTTGCCTGTCTTGTGTCCTGTTTGTGCCACTTAAGTGTTTTGATGTTTGCTGTTATTTGATAAATCAACATCAAGCTATATCTCTCCTAACAGAACAGAGCCGGGGTGGGGTGGGGGGGGGTTGTTTGCCCTAATGTGAGTACAGGAATTCACTAGAGTTGGTGGATGCAGACCAGGGGTGGGTTCTACTTACCTTTACTACTGGTTCGCAACGAGATCGCACATATGCAGATCGCTTCTGATGACGTCAGGGTTAGTGGGCGGAGCCTCCTGCCAGTTTTACTACCGGTTCTATAGAACCGGTCTGAACTGAGGGCAACCCATCACTGATGCAGACTGAACTGAAAATTAGCCACCGTAACGTTCCCACAGACATTATGTGATGGAATCCAATACATTTAGGTAGGCAATGAGGTATCCATGGACATAAAAAAATCTCCTGGGTCATATCCCCTGGCCTCTGTCTTCCGGTTCCATCCAACTATTAGAAAAATGAAATGAAATGCTGGTATAATGCAAAGCAAAGTACCAGCTTCTGACAGCATCCTCATTTATATGAGTATTTCTGGGACCCATAACAGCATCCCAGAACATATAATAATGCAGACCAATCTAGGAAAAAATAAGGGGTGCATTTGTGGCATTGTCTTCTGAAGTTTGATATTTTTGGACCGCTTATCTCTATCATAGCAGTCATTTTGTGAAAGAACCTCTGGCATACATTTTGACTTGCTCACCTGCCAAGAAAGATTCAATCAATCAATCAGAATAAACCCCACAACTTCTGAAAGCAAGCTGTTGAGGACTGCCATATTATACTATGTATACTATATGTATGATATTGTATACTGCCATGTATAATATTGTATTGTAATATGTATAATATTGTATATTATGCATGCTATAATATATTATATTATACATATTACACACAAAACAGTGTGGCTACTTCAGATCTATCACCCATTTCCCAGCCCTTTGGCTCCATTCAACATCATGATTATTCATCAGGTAGGGCAAAAATTAGCATAGAAAACCGAAAGCACATTTCACAGTTTTTGATTGGGAGATAAAACAGTTTATGGGAACTCAATTAAATCATATTGTCTACCTTTCCTTCAAAATGCCCAGTCCAAGATGTTCCTGGGGCAAGAACTGGTCATATCTATTGCTTATTATTATTGCTTATATTTGGTCTCCAATTTCTGAAAAATAATTCCATTTGCTTTTATGGTTGTTAGGAAATAATATGAAGAATGAAATGGGATACAAAACTCTCAGAATCCCATTGGATTGCTAGCCATCTGAAGCTGGGCCTCCCAACGCCACTTCTAAGAAATTTGAGATTAAGAAAACAACAGAAAATAATTGTGTGCTTTGCCTCCGCCCTCTATGTTTTCCCCTAATGATTGTATTTTAACAAATACAAAAAAAAAAAAAAATCCCTCAAAATTTGGGAGGTTAAATATCAAAGTATTGTTACTACATTTTGGTCAAACTATTTGCTAAGTCTGCACTGCTATTAATTGTTCCCACCACCCATCTCCTTCCATTTATGACTGTATGACTGTAATTTTGTTGCTTGAATCCTTACGATTTATATTGATATTGTTTCCTGATTGCTTATTTGTACCCTATAACTATCATTAGGTGTTGTACCTTATGATTTTTGATGAACGTATCTTTTCTTTTATGTACACTGATAGCATGTGCACCAAGACAAATTCCTTGTGTGTCCAATCACACTTGGCCAATAAAGAATTCTATTCTATTCTATTCTGGTTCATATACTACAATTACAATAAACAGAACATAGAATTGTAGGGCTGGAAGGAACCTCTGAGGTCTTCTAATCCAATCCCCTGCTCAAGGCAGGAAACCTTGTACCACCCTGGTCAAAATGGCTGTCCTCCACAACTCTGGGAGGCAAGCTGTTCCATTGATCAACTGTTCTTACTGCCAGAAAATTTCTCCTTACTTCTAGGTTAGATCTCTCTTTAATGATCTTCCACTCGTTACTTCTTGTCCTGCTTTTTGGTGCTCTGAAGCAGGGGTCTCCAACCGTGGCCACTTTAAGACTTGTGGACTTCAACTCCCACAATTCCTCAGCCAGCTTTGCTGACTGAGTGAGGAACTCTGGGAGTTGAAGTCCACAAGTCTTAAAGTGGCCACGGTTGGAGACCCCTGCTCTGGAGAATAGGTCAAGCCCCTCTTTTCTGTGGCAGCCCCTCAAGTACTGGAGGACAGCTATCATGTCCCGCCCTCAATCCTTCTCTTCAATAGGCGCTAGACATACTGGCTCCTCAACTGTTCATCATACAATTTAGGCGCCATACTTTTTATCATCTTTGTTGCTCTTCTCTGCACACTTTGTAGGATCTCAGCATCAGATATCCAATTCAGATCATGCGTCCCTACAATAGTGATCAAATTAATTCACTTCATGTCTTTATTTTTCCCTCAAGGGAATTGATGGAGCCAAGCTACAAGATCCTATAGCAGAAAACTGAAAGGCAATCTACTCCACCCTCCCAGAGTGCAATGATGAGCAAAATATGCCGTTCCTTTGTGTATCGGGTTCACCCGTGGTGATAAAATCAAAGAGCGCTGAAATAAAGACCAAATCCTGCTGGGAATCAGCAGGAGTTGCACCCATGATCTTACACCGCATGTGTTTAAACCAACAACTTTATTAGCTCTTATGGCAATGAAAGAAAAAGGTTCCCGAAAAAGAATAATTTTCTGAAGCTTCAGAGTCCCTTGAGAAATTATCCAAGCTCTGTTCCTCCCGCCTTCCAAGTGGGGTACTTTCTTTTTTGCTAGCTGGCAGATTTTTATTTGAAACCAGGCCTGAGATCAAAATATGCATTAAATGCTGTAACACAAAAGACCATTTAAGCACGCTCAGTTGGGTGTTCTGTGAAAGCTATTTCCAGCAGCTCCAGCCAAATCATTGAAAAGGTATGGTTGCGGGGTCCAACATCTGGAGGACTATACATTCTCCATTATTGCATTAAAGAAAAGCAGTTTCACAGCTTCCCGTGGAAACTTATCAAACAGCGATTTGCAGGTTAGCCATCTGCAGGAGTTATATATCCAGTGTGCTATATGTATCACGTTTTAACATTCTCTGAAGGATCCCATTCATACCAACAAAAGCTGAATCTTTCAATCAGTACAAATTATGTACTTTTGATGGGGTTTTACATAAGCGTAACTGGCAGCAATCATTTTTATTAAGAGTATTTATGGGTTTATTTATTATGGATTGTTTTTATGATGATTTTATGGGTGTTTTTAGCTTGTCTTTATTGTAAACCACCCAAAATTGCTGGAAGAGGCAGAATACAAGAGTAGGTAAATAAATATGTAAATTCAGCTCATTCTGGTCAGGGGGAAAAAGTAAGCAGGACAATTAAATCTCCTGATTAAGAAGAACTTCGGGAAACAGATTTCTGCTGAATTTTGCATCTGATAGTATCAAGATGGAATAGATGAAAATCAACTATGAGTGCTGGACTCTAAAAGCTTCTTGGGGAAAGAAAACAAGTAGAATTGAGAAACAGCTGTGGGAATTCTGGCAAACTGGCTCCCAAGGGAGGCAGATCCAGCAAAAAGTTCTACTTTAGTCTGAATGTTACTGCTATCTCCTCTAGCCCCATTCCCGTTGTAGGAGGCCCCCTCCCACCCACCTGTAAGCATCTGTCATTTTTTTAATTTCTAGGAAAGCTTATTTTTCTTGCTTTGCTTTGTGGCATGCCACATTCTCTCTTCTTAAAAAAATAAAATATTTCTAATAGTACAAAATGTATGTAGATGTAGTTCAGGGTTGAGTTGTTAGGTCCTTAGTGTGTTCCTTGGGCTTGGCTGTTTTGTGAAGATATTTCATTACCATGCCTGCTAACATCTTCAGTATGTAAGAGATTGGAGTTGGTTGGGTGCTGGCTGCAAACTGTACTCTCCCAAGGACTGATGATGTTATCTAGCCTACTAATGAAACATCTGCAAGAAAAGAACCAAGTCTACCAAGAACCCAACATTCACATCTGCTGCACCCCCCAGGACCAGAGGCATCTAACAGATTCTAACAGATTCACAGAGTTGGAAGGGACCTTGCAGGTCATCTAGTCCAACCCCCTGCCCAAGCAGGAGACCCTACATCTGCCTCTACCTAGGATCGAACTCACAACCTCCTGATTGTGAGACAAGAACTCCACCTCTAGGCCACAGCACAAAAGAGGAACAAGGGATGACAAGGATGCCATGGTTTCATGACCTAAATGCCATGATTTACATACTTGTGTCAAACATCAGGATGTAAGTAAGATGTAAGGACAAGGTTTACACCTCCTGTTATCATTTCTCTCCCCCCCACAAATTATGGCTGTCTTGGATGCTTGTACCTGAGACTTGCTTTTGGTCAAAGCCAACGATATCACAAATCTAGCCTGGCTTGCTAGGTTCCTGAGTTTCTTATTTGCACAACGAAATCAAGCTTCAGAAAGAGCACATCTTTTATACGTGGGCTATATCAGAGGTGTGTTTCAGCAGGTTCTGACCAGTTCTGGAGAACCGGTAGCGGAAATTTTGAGTAGTTCAGAGAACCGGTTAGTAAAAATTCTGACTGGCCCCGCCCCCATCTATTCTCTGCCTCACAAGTCCCAACTGATTGGGAGGAAATGGGGATTTTGCAGTAACCTTCCCCTGGATTGGAGAGGGAATGGGGATTTTACAGTATCTTTCTCCTGCCACGCCCACCAAGCCATGCCATGCCACGCCTACCAAGCCACACGCACAGAACCGGTAGTAAAAAAATTTGAAACCCACCACTGTGCTATATGTATGGATTTCAAAATGTAACAAACTACCTTTGGGAATAAAAAGTGGCTTAAAATGATCGGTGAAGAAGCAACATCCTTCATTCCGCCCCCCCAAATCCTTCATAATATGAATAATAAGCAATTAAATCTAAAATATGCATGTTAAAATACAGCTATAGCTAAAACCATTTTCATTCAAAAAGCCAATCTAAGAAACAAAATCATTCAGAACAGATACAGTATCATCTTGGTTCTCTTAAACAGTAATAAGGATATAGCCACCCCTCAGAATTCTTGACTTGAATCCCTACAAGGAAAAATTAAAGAATATTAGTGATTTTTAACCTAATACTAATCTGCATGAGATAGATATACTAAACAAACATTATAAAGAAGACAGTGTCTTTAGAGATTAAAAAATAGACATCAGCCTGTTTTAAAAATCTCTGAACTTTGTCCTGAGAGATTCACATTTAAATTTCAGCTCAGCTGATAATTCAGGATATATGCTTAAATATGCGCTTATTTCTTGTGTCAACATTTTATCCCATCCTTTAACATTACAGCAGCAACCATTAAGCACACTAATGTATTGCCAAGAGAAAGAGAAATGAGAAATACAATTTGGTACTGAGATTTTTTTTTTTTTTTGCAGAAAATATTATTTCTAAAAACATTCAGCATGCCTGGAATGAAGATGCTTCTTTTAAGAGCCAGCTTGATCTATTAGAACCAGTTTGGTCCAGCGGTTTTAAGGAGGCACCAGGCTAGAAAGCGGGAGGCTGTGAGTTCAAGTCCCATCATGGCCATGAAAATCAGCTGGTTGACTTTGGGCCAGTTACTTTTTCTCAACCCAACCCACCTCACAGGTTTGTTGTTGTTGTGGGGAAAATAAGAGGAGGAAGATGTGTTGGATATGTTTGCCGCCTTAAGTCATTTCTAAAAATAAAAATACAAGGTATAAATTAAATAAATAAAAAAAATTAAGAGGGTTTTTTATCAAGATTGTGCATCCGGCCCACAACACACTCTGTGGGACCACTGCTGTTTATTCATAAGATTTGGAAATACTTCTGCAGGCCACAGGCTGTAATAAAACAAAGCCACTCTCTGCAACTGACCTCCAGAGCAATTGGGTATTTGCCTTTTGAAAAGAAGTAACTGTGATGTCATGATCTACCAAGCAGACCTTTTCAGAATTACTTATCTAAAATCTAACATGCTCTGTCTTACACATTGGCAAAAAAAAAAAAAATCAGAATACCAAATACAAGCTGGGTGGATACGACCTCATAGACGACCCTCCCTCTGTCAAGGACCTTGGAGTACTCATCTCTAATGATCTAAGTGCCAGAGCTCACTGTAACAACATTGCCAAAGAGGCATTAAGAGTTGTTAACCTAATCTTGCGTAGTTTCTTCTCCGGTAATATTATACTGCAAACTAGGGCATACAAAACCTTTGCTAGACCAATTCTCGAATACAGCTCATCTGTCTGGAACCCGCACTGCATATCAGACATTAATACAATTGAGCGAATCCAGAGATATTTCACAAGAAGAGTCCTCCACTCCTCTGCTCGCAACAAAATACCTTATGCCACCAGACTTGAAATTTTGGGCTTACACAACTTAGAACTACGCCAACTTCAGTCTGACCTAAGTGTAGTAGCACATAATTATCTGCTACAACGTCCTACCTGTCAATGACTACTTCAGCTTCAACCGCAAGAATACACGAGCACACAATAGATATAACCTCAGAAAATACGACTTCAGCAACAGAGTGGTCAATGCCTGGAATGCACTACCTGACTCTGTGGTTTCATCCCCAAACCCCCATAACTTTAACCTTAGACTGTCTACTGTTGACATCACCCCATTCCTAAGAGGTCTGTAAGGGGCGTGCATAAGCGCACCTACGTGCCTACCGTCCTTACTGTCCCCATTTATTTGTATCCATTTCCTGTATTCATAATCATGTTTATACTTATATATGCTTATACATGCTTGACAAATACATAAATAAACAATAAAAAATTAAAAAACCCTGTGCCCTAATGCGTTTTAATTGGTTAAAAAATATTGATAGCCTTTAGCTAAACTGTATGGGAAACAGGCAGGTATTAATTGGCTTAAGAAGAACCAATGTACAATTTTCCACCAGAGAATTAGAAAATTAAAACAGCATCAGTACAATGATGCATGAAATAGTGGGGGGAGCATTATTCTAAAGTGAGGTGGGGGGGCGGGCAGCCTCTTCAATAATTTGCAGCTGATTTACCAGACAAAGAATCTTTGAGACTGACTGGAGGCTTACAGTTCACTAGTCACAGATTCTTGGTAATGAATGTACAGTAAAGCACTTAGTAAGTACTCTTGCAAAAAGGAAAAAAAAAAGCAATAAATAATCACAAAAGACCCACTCCAAGTTGGCAGAAATACGCTGTTGGTTACTTTTGAGCGCTGCAAGCGTATGAGTGTGGAAAGAGAAAAAGAAAGGCTCAACAGAAGTGGGACACACGATGGTACGTGGTATGCCTCTATTAATGTCCACCCCACTGCCCTTTCCTCTTAGCCGGTCCCTACTTGAGCTGTGAAAGAGTGTGAAGCATGTTTTCATTTCACTGTTCCCATGTTGTCTCTGCCTCTTGCAAAAATGAGCACATATGGTGGCACACCAGCTGCTAACGGATTGAGCTAGCTGGTTGCCAAGTCCTGCCAATCACATATCGCTACCCAGAAAATAGAAGAATTACGGCTTGGATAAAAGTAACTGAAAATGCTATTTCCAAAAAGTGAGCATCCAGACAAATTTCTTCCACTACTCAATGCAAGGGATTA